TACTTAAACGGACAGCTGTATGAGGGGATCGCCTTGTGGAATTGGTCATTTTTATTTGTATAAGGAATTTGTCTTATTTTATGTGTAATGAAAGCTCAGTTCTGTTAAAGGGCCATTTTATTCCGTACTACATGATGTGAACCAATATCTCTTTTTGCTTACCTTACTTTAACCGCTACATTCCTCTTATGAACACTTAAAGATTTAAACTCACAGCTATGAATCGAAATCTAAAATGTTGCGCCCCAAAGGTTCAACTTTTTGACTTAACTGAAATTATAAAGGTTTGAATTGCCTCCTGACGACCTACTGTTACTTCTTTGTGCATCAAGATCTCCATCTAAACAAACGAATGGTCCAAAAACCAAAAATTTCCTGTTCGTGGCCGGAAACTGAAATATTAAGCCTTCGAACTATGAATAGATAAAGGCATTTTGACATCCACTGAAAACGTCTGAGGTGTGTTTTGAAACTTCCAAATTGATTACCTAATCATCAGTGCTCCAGATATCATTCGTTGTCACCTTCAGTTAGCATATATCAAAAGAATAGTTGAATTTATCACATATTTTGTTGCTTTACATGCTTTTGGAACGTTAGATCGATTTTTTCAGTTGCACATGTGCTGACCTTAGTTTGTACGTAACTCGAGCGGACATATGTGTTATCCATTTGACTCGATTGTGGAAAACTCACCAGCAAGGAGAAAGCTTTAGTACAGCCGACACTCTAGCCAACTGAGCTATGGGGATTCCTTTTTTCTTAAAGGAAACTCGATATGGCCAAATAAGTTATTCAAGCATGCCAAACCCCTTACTGCTACTAAGAACTTAAGATTGTCTTGGCTAAAGTCAAGGCTATGGCAAATGGATGTGTAAAAACTCACTTTGTGCCACTTTTGCCCAGCAGTGAATAAATTCATTTCGGTCGAATAACTTGACAATTGTCTATGCATATACAAGTGTTCTTTAATCGATTTTTTGCGCAATGATGCTGGCTTTTCAAATCACAGTAGGTTTCCTTTATTATACTGCAAAGATCTGCTTAATTAAACTAGCTGAAATCGCGTCCCAGATATAATTTGCAAGTCAAAGTAGTAGAAAATATACATTCATTTTGCCGACGTTTCGAATAAAATCATTGAGTTTTATGTGATTTTACGTACCACATTCAAGTTTTTGCCCTGATGCCCAGGCTCCCTTGCTGTCCAATGTCCATCATCTCAATTTTCCAGTACATTTCATGATCAATTGTCGACTGGTGTTAGGGAGCTCTGGTGTATAATCCCACTGGCCGTTTACCATTGACTCTCTTGAAATCGATTCTACAGAGGTAGTTCTGGCGACTATCGGAAGTTAAATGACTTTATTGTCATTAAGTGCTCCACTGTTAATGGTCAATCGGGCCTTGCGTGGATATCGCATCCAAGTATCCAACCATGAACCTCTTTTAGAAGGTACATTTGAATTTTTGACAAAGACTTCCAAGAAATCAGGTTCGCGCCTATAAGCAAACAAAAATGTATGTTAGCTACTGCCCACATACACGTGATGCGAATTAAAGGTGAAGCTAGGAAAGAAGTTAATGTGCTGGAACCTTTGTTTCCTTTGAAACATCTAAGCAGTCGTAGCTAAGCGAATAATAAATCTATTGATTAAATAAAATGGAGTTGAGAGATCCAAATTTCCAATTTGGGGTCCTTGAGTAGCCAACAGACGTTGCCAGATAAACCAAAAAAGTCAGGTTTACTTTTTTTGGTAATATTTCTTGATCAAAGACCACTTTCTGTTAAAAGATTATCTGGGCTGAATCAGAATCA